TAATAGGTGGCTTATAAGAACTTAGACTAATCTATCTTTGGTCAAGTAATTTAACACCGAGCGAGGGTTATGACTTCAGGGTAATGGAGGAATATAAGGATGATTATTTGTCATACATTATAATATCTCTTGTATTTTTGTTTGAATTGTATAATTGTTGTTTTCCTACCCAGCAAGCACACATTTAATTGTTTGTATACACTATCATGAATTGACATTGGTTACTAAAACTTTTGAGTCTTATTATGCAGTTAATAGCTTTCAGGAGAAGAGCCAGGTCCGTGACATTTGGAGAAGCCCCTGAAGTTTAGTGGTGCGAATCCACTCCCTTTCTCTGGGTTTGGATATATGATTTTTATAATGCATTATTGCCAATATTAGGGTTTTTATTATTTATTGAACATATGGATTCATAGTCGTGATCGTGCCTTTTTAAATAATTTATACATATTATATGTTTTGGGATGACTATAAATACACTTGTTGAGAAATATTTTTATATTTATTGAGACATTGATGATACTTGATAATGTTAGATGTTTTGAAAAAGACATTATGATTGAGTCATGTGTCTTGGCTTGTTTGTTGAGTTTGACCAATTGGTCTATCTATGATTGTTGGCTTTAGTGTGCAATTGTGGGGAGCACAAGGGTGAGAAAATAATATTTTGGCCTAAATGGCACATGAAAAGATAATTTATAATGATATTGTGTGGTGTAAACTGGAGCCTAATGCTAGATGAATTTATATTAATTTTCTCTATATAAATTGTGTTAGGTGACTGTAACTCAACTATCGTTGTCGATGTATGTGAACAGTAACAAAAATTATTTTATGTTATTTGTAAAGGTTATAAGATTTTGAAACGTGTAACTATTTTTACTTTTACTGTTATATTTTGTTTATTATGTTTTCAATTTTAAATGGGACTATGTGAGCCTTTCACACTTGTTTTAATTTTATAAATACTTGAGATCTCAAATTTTGAAAACAACAATTTTATAAGTTTAATTTTATTTACCATGATAGTACTTATTTATTTAGTTTATTCTTTCTACCTTGGTAAAACCTTTTGTATCATAATAGTTATTTTAAAAGGTGAAATATTTTACAAAGCTATGTTTTATCATTTCCTACCATGGTAGTGTTTAAATTATAGAATTGTTTTAAAAAAAATATATTGGATAAGTTGACTTCTGTTTACTATGATAGACACTTTTTTACCATGATTAAGTTAATTGTTTTAGGAAAAATTTTAAGATGTCGCACTTTAAGTCTGCTACTTTATTTTTTTATCACGTAGTTTTAATCTTTATTTTTTTATTATATAGCTGGCATAGCTCGTCACCTTATTGTTTAATTAATGTATTTCTATTTCCCTGTATCTACATTAATTTTCTTTACTTCACATTCTTGCATCTAGGTGAATTATGGTAAGTGAGCTTAGGTTCCTTGCTTTTGATTAAAAGTCAGATTCTTTCATCCCTTTGAGACCTCGTGTCTCTTGCATGCATTGTGACACCTCTTTTTTTCGCCAAACAATCTTTTAGCATTGCCAGTGGGATCCGTGTGAATGGAATGCCTAAGATATGTAAGGATCAATATGTCATCGAAAATAATGGACCTGAGTCTAACGACTAAGAGAACGTGGCTACCTATACAAAATATGAAATACTGCCCTCTCGCACTCTAGTGACCGTGGGACAACAAGACTATATCAATAAGCAAACAACGACTTCACAGATATTAGTAGAGGAACTTAAGAGACAACATCTGAAAAAAGTAGTAGGAGAGAGCCAAAGCCTGGGAGAAGTTGGAATGCTATGCTGATAAGAGGTAAAGAGTTCTGTTGTAAACTCTGAAGGACAGGTTAAGGAACATCTCCCCTATGCTATCTAGACTATCGTAGGAGCAAACTCCAATTAGTTCACATGTTCAAAGAAGATATGAACTAAGGGGGGTAGTCTCCCAACATGCCTTTCGACTATAAGATTAACAACGAGGATCACTATAACATCCCTTAAAGGAAAAATGGTAGGTCTAACTCAATGGCAAGCTTGTTCGATCACTAGGGAGGACAAAGGACAAAACCTTGTGAGTAAGAATGACAACACCACCAAGTCACCTTTCATGAAGCTCTTTAGAAGTGGTACCACTCTGCCAATGCTCTTAATAAGTCTCTCCAAGAAATGTAAAGAGTTCTTAAGGCAGGGTTGAGCTTATAAGTCAAATCACCATTAAACAGCTCGGGGGGCAATTTGTATGGGCTCACCAAGAGGACCATCTCTAATGTTCTCTTCAAGCCATTTTTCAAGTTAAGGAGAAGTTAACAACTTTACCTAGGATGTGGGAAGAAACTTAAAAGTTTTAAAAAAAAACTCATGGTACAACATCCATGGGCTAACAGTTTCTAGAGCCTCGGTGCTTGGACTATCAATTTTTGAAACCATAAGGCCTGGCTGGTCATGTTTGTTAAGTCCTTGGATGTCATTATTTACAGCCCCATTACCTAAGTTGTCATTACCTATAATCTCTAGTCTATCAAACTCAAATGGCTTTGATATAAAGGAGTCATATTTTGAGAGATTGGATCTTAAGCCGTCAATCTCATAAGGGCCATGTTCATAGAGATCGAATCCTAAGCAGCTAATCCCACAAGGACTAAATTCACATGAGTTCTTTCCCTAAGGGCTCTCTCCACAAGGTCGAGCCTTGTAGCAATTATATTTTGTAGAACCAGCCCTTGAGGTCTCAAACCTTAAAGGGCTAATTCCAAAACTAACTCTTAAGGTCCCAAACCTTAAGAAACTCAATCATGAGCTTGACCATGTGGCCCTTAATCCTCAACCACAAGAGGATCCTTCAAGAGAAGTACTAAATCAATCATCAATTAAAATGGGAACAAGAAAATCCTCTAGGACATATTACTCATGCAATGCTTGAAAGTGGGGTTAATGGAAATATCTATCAATTGGCCTATGAAGGCTCCAGTTAGTTTGTATGCGAGGGGCATTATTTACACTCTAATTGTGAATTTGGAGACTCAAGTTCAACCCAACTTAATTAAATTTAAAATAATTAAAAAAATAAATATTCATAAAGCCTTAGCCACTAAGTTAATACTGGGTTTAGGCCATTATCTCCACATTCCACTCATGATGTTTGAATTATGGAAGTGAAGCAAGTGGCCATCATGGAGAAAGTGCTTCCTAAATTCAAGGAAAGTGGTGATCATTGGACTTAGGCACCAAACTAGGATAATCTATAAATAAAGGAGTCCTCTCTCATCAAGAAATCATCATCATCAATAAACTAAGGAGAACGACAAATAAGGACCTTGTACAAATATTAATAATAGATTAAGACTTTTTAACATTGATGTTTTCAAGTTTTAGCACTTATTCTACCATATTTCAAGACTAAAGTTCTTAATTTGACATTAATATTCTTACAAGGTCCTTGCTTGTCATTCTCCCAATAAACTATCATTCAAATTTTGATTCTGCTACTTTATTTTCTTTCTAATCATGTAGTTTTAATTTTTATTTTTTTCTCTTGTATGGTAGGCATAGCCTATCATCTCTTTCTTTAATTAATACGTCTCCGTTTCTCTGTATCTACATTAAGTTTTTTACTTCGTATTCTCACATTTGGGTGAATTGTGGTAAGAGAGTTTAGGTTCTCCATGTTTGTTTAGAAATCAAGTTCTTTTATTCTTTTGAGATCCCACATCTCTGGCATGCCTCTTGACTAAGAGCCAGAAAAAGGGGTTAAGCTTATGAGTTAGCCCATTTAACCAGTACAATTGATGAATTGGGTTGAATAAATTGATTTGTTTTTTTAAAACGGGTTAGGCTAGCCTGACTTACAAAACTAATGGACTAAAACATGCTAATCACAGGCCAAGCAGGCTGGCCTGTGGGTTTTAAAAAATAATTTTTTTTATTTTTAATTATAGTATATTTTTTTATAAATCTACAATAATGACAATATTTTTTAAGCATATAATTTATGACTTTTAAATATGTTCTTTGCATTTAAAATATAATGTAAATTTTTTTTACAATTTGTAAATAAAATTTTTATTATAGTTTATAAATTGATAATTTATTAATTTTTATTGAAATATTTTAAATAGATATTATTTATTAATCTCATAAGATCTATTAATTGAAATCATAAATATAAATTTATTAAAAATAATAATATGAATTTATATTTAATTTTTTTCTCAATAGGAAAGATAACACACCTAGGCAAGAAGATGACTAATAATAAAAATCTAGCAAAATAAATTTACTTGATTGAATTCTATATTTATTTTATTTATTTACAAATTCTTTAATTGTTAATTTGCCTTAAAATGTGAAATAAATATATATTTATATAATATAAAATTTAAATTGTTAAAAAAAATTTAGTAAATTTTTGCGAGCCATCCAGCCAGAAAATAAGTTGGGTTGGGTTTTTCAGCTTATTTTATTTAGCAGGTTGGCCCAATCCAACTCGTAAAAATGTTAACCCGTGTGGTTTAGCTTACAAGTTAGCCCATATCCCATTTGTCCAGTGCCACTCGTGACTTTTATCATGGGTTAACCCATAACTCGTTTGTCCAGTACCACTCGTGATGTCCATTTGTTTTTTGCTCAACACTCACATAATATCAAAAGACAAATTAAAAAAATGAATTTCTTTCTAGTCATAAACTATATACATATTGCATGCCGCATGAGGTGGAAATGGCTAGATATTATTTTGGGAAAAAAAAAGGCTAAACATTATAATATTCAATCTTTCGTCATCGGATGATATTATTATAATTACAGCATCCGGACCTTAAAAATGACCCGCCAATATTATTTGGACGGATATTTTCACATCTTGAGTTTGGCGGGTTAAAGGCAACGGGCGAGTAAACCAAAAAAAAAAAAGAACGAACAAAAGAAGCGTAAGAATAAAGAAGTATCCCCAAAAAAAAAAAAAAAAAAAACTACCCCCAATAAAAAACAGGAAGCATAAGGAAAATCAGAAGAGGATGCTGAAAAGAACGAGTAGTGGAGGTCACTGGATGAACGGCATGGCTCGCAGCATCTCCTACATAACTGGTTCTCAGCTTCTCTCTGTCAGACGCCAACCAAATATTGCCATTATTGATGTCAGGTTTTGATCGCTTCCCTCTTTGTTCCCATCCCTCGATTCGCTTTTTCTTGCCGTTTTTGTTTTCGAGAGTTCGATTCTATTGATCTTTCTTGTTGATGGGTTCTGAATCTTAAAGAGACGACGAGCGGAGTTATGATGGCCACATCGCTGGGTCTCTTCATTTCGCTAGCGACTCTTTCTCGGAAAACATCTCGAATCTCATTCGGCAAGTCAATGGCAAAGACACCCTTGTCTTCCACTGCGCTCTGAGTCAGGTTTGGTCCTCTTCTGTTGTTCACATATACCATTTGACTTTGGCTTTCTCTTATGATTCATTGTGGGTTTATTTTATTCTCGAATTTTGGTTTCTTGTTCCTGTATTTTGTTCCTTCAAATATTCTATAGCATTCCCGTGAAATTTCAGACCTGTTGATTTCTGAATGAGTTAGGAGGACAGCCGGAAAATGTCTCTTGCTGGGCCCTTATAAAATTAGAATAGTCATGTTGCTGTATTTGAAGCTTGTGTACATTAAGCGTACTCCGTAGTGAGTAACAGTATATGCAGCTCTTCAACAGCCATAGCATTACCATTTACAATCAACATTAATTAGCTTGGGCAGCTATATCGTGGGAAGTTCTAAAATGCGATGGTGTAGGATTCACAAAAAACCTTCACCTACCAAACAGGGCATGAGAGCAATCCTATTTAAGCAGATGTCATAATCTGTTGAAGATTTAGTTGACTCAGATGGCATTCAAGATTCCACAAACCAAATGCACCTTCAATTAATCCAGTCAATTGAATTCTGCTCAAACTATATCTTTTTTTTTTTAATAGAAAAAATATCAGGGCAGCATATCGTTTTCAAGTAACCAAATGATCAGGGTGCATTTGAATTTTTTTTAGGCATGACTTAGCGTAGATTTACAGGCAATTTTCTTATTGAAACCACAAATTAGACTTCACTGGGGTATTTTTTTTTTTTTTTTAATCTTTGATCATATGTTCTAACAAGTGCGCATGCATGGTTCATTTGGAATATGAAACTTCTGTTTTATGCAGCATCACGATCATGGCTAAATTTGAAGTAGTGAAAATCATAGAAGTTAGATTTAGTGGCCAGAGCAAAGCTGAGAGTTTCAGGCTTCAGCATAAAGAATGCCTGCAATGGTTTAGTGGGATGAGAGTTCCTATCTCGAGAAAGAAAATGGAGGGTTCAAACCTGTTGATTTCATTAGTGGATGGGATATTGTGTTCCCTCCCTTTTCCTTGGACCTTGACAAAATGCAGCATAAATATTTGTTTACGCCATTACATGATGGTTATTTTTATTTTAATCTTCCTCAGTCTTTCCATTTTCTGTTCGTATAATGTTCTTGAATTTGCAAGAGGCATAAATGCTGAAACGCTTTTGTAGGTTCGTGGCCCAACTTGTGCTCGAAGGTTAGCCAATTATCTTGAGGACTTCAAAGAAGATACTGGAATAAAGAACATAATGGTCCTGGAGCGGGGCTTCAATGGATGGGAATCTTCGGGAAGGCCTGTCTGTCGCTGCAGTGATGTTCGTTGCAAGGGCGAGGGTGCTTGATGGAAGGCTTGTTTTAAGGTCGGGATCCAAGCATGATGTCTTGCTTCTAGTACGTGCTCCCGTTTACGTTCACAGAGGAATAATATGATTACATTATCGTCACTTTATTATGGAAGTCATGTATGTTTGTGAGATATCTGTTGCTCGAGATATCATGGCATACAAATGAGGCAAAGAATTTAAAAGCCATTCCCTTTCTTTCTCAACTTGCTTTCAGTTGCATATAACATCGTCAGAACTATTTGTTTTTGGTAATCATGGTTTGATAATATTCGCTAACACGGTCTGCAAAAGGTCTCCTGGACTGAACAAACTATGGAGAAATGCCAATGAAAATGTCAAGATCTTTAACGTCAGGATCCCTAGCTTTGGTATGTAGTCCATTGGGCCTTATGGGCCTTTAAATTAAATGCTAGAAAATTCTCGCGTGGACATACAAAAGTTCTGGAACAATTTTTCTTCTCTTAAAAATACGAACTGAAGTCTATCGGTTCGTTGGGGACTTCAAATTTTCCCTCGGGAAGAGGGTCTTCTCTTCTTCTCTCCTTTCCCTTCCACTTTCCCAGTTTTCACCATTCATTAATTTTATAATTAAAAAATTATTCAATAAAATGATATGAATGGTGGGAATGAAGGAACTGGAGGGAAAAAAAGCAAGAGACTCCTCTTCCGTTTGGCCTCGGTGGAATCTTGTTTCTAGCCTTGTCAAGAGGATGAGCTCTTGTTTTGATCCACCTGTTGAAACCATACGAGTGACTCTAAGGGATCCTTTAACATGAATTTAAATGTGATTAAAGTCATCTCGATTTCTACACACACACATGCTTGTGTGTGTGTGTGTTTATTTATCTATTTATTTTTGGTAGAGATTTGGTTGTGTGTGTTACTGTGAAGTAGAAGGTTAAACTATCTTTGTTTTTTGCATGGATCATAATGTTTAAATGGGCCTGTTGGCCCATTTATGGAAGCCGTTGATGTGGATCCACTGAGAGAACAACCTCCCCCAGTCCGCTGTCTACGACAAAACTGAAGAAAATTTGTATGGAGCGGCTTGCTTGTTCATGAGTGAGCGAAATTTATATCACTAGGTTGAATATTTTTTTTTTCAAATTACAAGACCATAGTAAAACCGTGCAAAGAGACTAAAATTTAGTCATATCTAAAATTATGAGGTTTCTACATTCGTGCAGTGGTATATCAAAAATCATAATATTAAAGGTATCATGCGGGGGCCGATAAGCTAAAAGATCAATACATTTGTTTGCTTCTCTATGAACATAGTCAAAAGTGATCATTCAATCTCTCATAATAAAATCTCTGATCTTTCTAATAGTGTCAAAATAAGGATGACTCTCAGAGTATGTGCGATTAATGAGTGACAACGTGTCCATTGAATCAGAGCGGATATTGACTTTTGATAATTTTGCATTCCGGCAAAGATTTAGTCCCTCAAGTATTCTCATAAATTCTGCTGCTGTGCTAGGTTGATTTTCAAGATATTTCAAAAATTCTTTTATTTAATTTCCCTTATCCCTCCACATACTGCGGCACCATTAATATTAACAGAATCGTCGGTGTTGAGTCTAACCCATTCAAGTTTAGGTGGACTCTATTTTCCATCATCTATAGAGTTGCAATTGTCCAAGTGGATGATTTTGGATAGAAGCTTCAAATCATTATTTATATATTAAGTGCTAGAAAAGATAATATTGTTGCTTGGGATGTCATCTTCCTGATAGTGTCAAAATAAGGATGACTCTTAGAGTAGGTGCAATTAATGAGTGACAACGCATCCATTGAATCAAAGTGGATATTGACTTTTGATAATTTTGCATTCCAGCAAAGATTTAGTCCCTTCAGTATTCTCATAAATTCTGCTGTCGTGCTAGGTTGATATTCAAGATATTTGAAAAATTCTTTTATTTAATTTCCCTTATTGTCTTTGATGATGTCTTCACATACTTTGGCACCATTAGTGTTAATAGAACCGTCGGTGTCGAGTCTAACCCATCCGAGTTTAGGTGGACTCCATTTTTTATCATTTATAGAGTTGCAATTGCCCAAGTGGGTGATTTTGGATAGAAGCATTAAATCATTATTTATCTGTTGAGTACTAGAAAAGGAAATATTGTTGCTTGGAATGGCATCTTTTTGACTATAATTTACTACATCTAGCTTTCCAAATATTCCAGTAAGCTTGTGCAAAGAGTTTCTGCCAAGGTGTTCTTCTTGTTCTTAAGTTGCTTGCTTCATTTTTGCATTCGAAACTATTCAATTCTTCACATTAAAGGAGAAGAAGGTGTTAAGCCTCGTAGGTTTCACTATTTTTTTTTTTCAAACCTCTTTAGCTTCTCCATAATCACTTAAAATATGAATTGAAGAATCAGGAGAATTATAACCAAATGGATAGAGATGTTAATGGGAAACATCCTCATATGCTTGCATGTGATTGATTTGGAGACAATTTGAGGCAGCTTTTCATAGAAAATATTTTATTTTTTCTTATGTAGGCCACTTCCAAATTTTAGTCCATATATCAGAGTGGTGTTGATCCTTATGAAATTTCATGGCTTTGTAAGCAGATTTTATGGAGAGGTTTCCATCAAAGAAGGGTCTCCAAATGAGAACATCTTTTACGCCTTGACGATTAGGAGGTTGCACAAGTAATATTTGTTTAATTACATCTGAGTGGAAGTAATGATTTAAAAGATCAATGTTCCATGCTCCTGAATTACAGCAAAAATCAAAGACCCTAGCATGGAGAATAGAATAAGCATTTAGATAAGCATGCTTGACAAGAGGGTTAGGGAGCATAGACAATTTGTCATACCAAAATGATATTTGATCTCCTTTACCAACTTTCTAACCTACATGAGACATGAATTTATCCCAAACTTTGCAAATGTTGCTCTAGGTGTAAGAATAGGAGCTAGGTTTAACTATCATCGAAATTCTAAGTTTGTTACATTTGTATTTGTCGTAGATAATCCGAACCTAGAGATAGTTTGGCTTAGTGATAAGGCCCCAACAAAACTTCATTATGTAGGCGATATTTTGATTTTTTAGCTTCTTGAGTCCAAGTCTCCTATTTTTTTTATCTATAGTGATTCTATCCCATGAAAGAAGATTTAGTTTTTGTTTCCATCAGTTGAATCCCATAGAAAGTTTCTAGAGTCTTTTTCAATTCAAATAAAATATTATCCGATAAAAGTATAGTTTGCATAGTATAGTTAGGAAGAGTGGATATTTTAATCTCTTGTGATGATGTCCACCGATCAACGGCTCCACAAATTTAAATACTGTCTTTGGACTTGACAGCTTGCTTGGCTGAGAAGGAAAACTAACTTCACATCGCAATCAAGTGAATTTTGATACTGAGAGCCCAATCCCTTGCTACCATTAGATCACTTCGATATTCACGCAAATGATAATTCAAAATATTTACATCGCATAATCAGGAATCGTTTATTTATTCACCGTCAAACACCAACGTCATTCTATCACAATTCTTTACTCAAAGCAGCAAGTTAACTAGACATGGTTATGAGATTGTTCACGTGAATGAGAGCCCGTGAAACTGGAGTGTGACCGAAACTAGTTGCTTGTCGTAGCCTTGCACGTAGAAGCGAGCGGACAAAATACTGTATACAGGAATCTAGATTTTTGAGAGAGGAAATGATTGAAAGATGAAAATGGAGAAAAGTGGGAAACCACAATAAGCAGATCAGCAGTAGCGCGTCGAAGAAGGTCAAAATATCATCTCAGGCTTCCAGCCGCTCACTTAAGAGGAAGAAAATGAAATAAACTTAGTAGAAAAGTGATTAAGAATGATCCCATCTTAGATTTTTAAAATAATAAAAGTCTGGAACTAAAAACAAAAATCAAGTGTAAACGGAAGAGAAACGACATTGATTTAAAAATTATAATTTGAGAGTGAGCCCTCCGGATTACCCGCACCATATGTGTAGCACCAATAAACGAATGGAGGTGCCGGCGTTAAGTAACGGCCACCGGAAGCCTTGGCACGAGAGATAACAACAGCGGAAGCAATGTAGCATGTAATCAAAATTATCAAATCTATAAATAATGAATCTACGGAATCCTCATCCAAACCTACGTGTCCCTTGCGGATGCGCATGATTAGGGTCGTTCTTGTCCCACCCGTTGATTCCCCTAACATACACTACGTTCAGTCCACCTACCCCTCCCCTGGTATGTCTTTCGAATAATTTGTCATATATCAATCCTATTTGTCTACTATTAATTATATTCAGAGTGCGCATGCCTCTCCGCACCCTTCTCTCTTTCTTGTCATTTTCCTCCCTAATTTAAAACTTTTTATATGCTTATAAGTCATGTTTTTTTAAAAAAATTATTAATTCTTTATATAAGTCATTTTGCATAAAAAAACGGATCACTGATTACTTTCTTCCCATCCTACCTTTTCACAATTTTCAACGAATAAATAGTCAAAAATTATCAAAGAGAGAGAGTGCTTTTAAAAATGATGCAAAATGCTCTCTTCAATTAAAAATATAAGATATTTTTAATTAAATTTTATCACTCAATAAAGTAGTTATTTACTTTTAAATTAAGCCTATATTTTTATATTTACTCTTATTAAACACTTTATAATAACTATAAAGTCATTATCTAGGAGCACTTTTAAAAAAAGATAATGATTACATTTTAAAAGATTAAAAATGTCACACATTTTTAATATTTAACTTCTTAAAAAATGTCTTATACTTATAAATAGAGAGTAAAAATTTTGTTTTTTGAAATCATTAATAATTTAACTACCTCTTATCAATTTTGATAATATAGTTACAAATAATTTACAAATAACATCGAATGGAGCATGTGTTAAAATTCATTAGAATTTCACATTGCATATAATCACGTGTGTATGTATATATATGTGTGTGTGTTTTAAAAAAATTAACCACGGTTGCGATCATCTGATTGCGAGATATTAAATTCAGTTACGTGATTCCAACGCTACCACTGGATATTATATCCCACTCTTTGCTAGCAATTTTGCTCGCTTGAGAATGGGATCCCCGGCGCCCATTCTAAATTTAATAAAGATGTCTGATTTACATTTATTTAATTAATCATTTCTGTTATATTATTTTATAATAGTGTATTCTCTCTGTTTCTATTTGTAAAAAAAACTATCACATTTTACTTATTTTTTTATATA